CGCAGTGAGAAAACACAATGCTGCTGCAGTCTTAGGCTGAGGTGTGGGTGATGGGATGTTACCACGTTACCAGCAGACCTACTGATCTGTCAGGCTCAGTATCTTGTCCAAACTTAACATCTTCTTCTCCATTTCTCTCCCCTCCCAGCCCTCACCAGCAGTAAGAAACTGAAAGCACAAACTCAGGAAAGCTCTTTGTCTTCATAGTAATCCCTGCCTTGACAGTAATCATAAAAAGTCCCCTGGGAAGTGTCCAGGGGGTGATGTGGAGCTGTGAGCAGCCCTGACCCACGCAGCACCCTCTTAGCAGCAGAAGGACACTGCCCTGCTGGGGGTCGCTCCTTCTACCCACAGCTTCTCCCTGCAGCACCACTGGAGCTCCCCGGGCAGGCTGAGTGCTGACCCTGGCAGATGGCAGAGTCCTTGCCCCAGCACACAGCCCCCTGGGGTGTAGGGACCCTGCTCTGAAGGACAGTCCTGGGCACCTCTGACTGCACACCTGGCTTCATAGCCCTGTAGCTCTTCCTGGGAGAAGGGAGCTGTTCCTCTCATGGTGCAGCAGGCACTCATTGACATGGGGTTAATCTTCCTCCTCCACACTGAGAAACCTGTGACACCCTGTCCCAATCCAATATTGGGACCCCTGGGGTGTAGGGACCCTGCTCTGAAGGACAGTCCTGGGCACCTCTGACTGCACACCTGGCTTCATAGCCCTGTAGCTCTTCCTGGGAGAAGGGAGCTGTTCCTCTCATGGTGCAGCAGGCACTCATTGACATGGGGTTAATCTTCCTCCTCCACACTGAGAAACCTGTGACACCCTGTCCCAATCCAATATTGGGAAGGTTTTGATACGATCCCAAGAGCGAAATTAAGACACAAATGAGGTCAAATGCCATATACTAGAAACAGTTTTTATTATGAAAAGAGTAAAAAAAGGAAAAGGTAAAGGTAACTGATAAGAGCGATAGGACAGGGCAGAAAAGAAAGGCAGAAAACCAAGCAAGACTCCGGGATAGCATCGCAAG